GTTTATTTGTTGGATTTGATAAATGTTTTATGTGGTTACTTCCATCAAATTCTAATGTATTTGTTTGTGTAAAGAAGTTTGTGTTCTGACCTTCTTTTAATTTTCAGATATGTTACAACAGACAATTGAGGTTGAGTGATTAATCTACTTCCTCTGTTATTCTGATAACAATGGTGATTTCTTTTATAGTTATATCTTTACCAAATATAGAAAAGTTAAAATTATTTAATGGAACAATGATGAAAAGAGTCTAGTAATAAATTCTAATTTAAAAGAAAATACATAAGTTTATCAGTGCTATTACAGTAATATTGTTAATAAGAGTTGACAAATAGTATTTTCCTAAATATTGAAACAAATATTCTTTCCATTATTATTTTTCATTTTCACTTATTAAGTTATTTGTTAAATAAATTTTAAAAGATCATATATTCTATGTCTGATGAATTGGTATTACTTAATGAAGCTTTACCAAAATGATTATTAGTTTATTTAAATTATTTTGACTTTTGTGTATATAAAATAGTATTTTAGAAAAAAATGTATAAATTCTTTTTTTTCTAGTGATTGGGTAATTCATTGTAGTTGTGTGGATGTTTTAAATTTTGTTGCCTGACTTTAGCATAGAAAGATGATAAAATACTTAAATTTATTTATTAGATGATGTAATTTATAATTGAAAACAATTTTCAAATTGTTTATAGTTTCCGATTCTAATCATTAGTTTGTTTTATTAAAATAAACAAGACTTAAAATATGACATCTAATAATTTATGGTATATAAAATATCTTTAAAAATATAAATAAAAATACAATAAATTATTTAAATGTAATTCGACTATCTATATTATAAATATATCTTTTATAATTTATATATTTTAATAAGAATGTTATAATATGATTAAAAAGATGGATAAAGCAATGGTAATTTCAAATAATCTAATAAGTTTTATGAATAAGAAAAATAATTTAAAAAATTTTTCATTTTAGTGTAGATTCTTAATTGACGAAATGAATATTTTTTTTAATTATTCTATTTTAAGAAAATTATATATAGAATAGTAAAAGTTTTAAGTAAGTATTAATTAATTTTACTATTGAAAAATAATGATAAACTAAATATCCCAAAAATAAAAAGAATATATTTTTAGATCTAGAGATCAGAATTTAATAAATCCTCATTGTGATTTGATTTTTATATCTTAATAGTTAAATTTTTTTTTCTATTGCCTCTTATTCATTTTCAAAGAACGTTCATAACATTTGAATAACTTTTAAAATTTTAAGACACTCAATTCAATCATTCTTACTTTTTTTTGGATTAAAAAATTTAAGAATAGTTTTATATTTGTGGCATTAACTTCTCTTCTACGTTTCGGTTCCAAAAAAAAAATAATAAGAATAATTTATTTTGTATTAAATTAACAATGTGCTAAAAATAAAAAAGGTCGATAAATAATAATATAAATTAATTTAATTAATTTTTAATTAAAGATTAACCAAAACATAAATAAGATAATTCTTTATGACAGTCATTGATTTTTTAAGGAAAAATACATATGAATATTAGTAAGAATTGTTTCTTTAATTTCTGGATTATTAAAAATTAATTTTTTCAAAAAGATAAAAAATTCAAAATATTAATAAAAAAAACTATAAGAATGATTATTATTAACAGAAACAAACTTTTATCTTTTTTACTTATAAACATAAATCTTTTGATTATTTTTATAAATGATTTAAATTCAATTACGTTTGTATAAAAAATATCATAAACGGAGAGGTTTTTATCATAATGGAAATTTTTCAATTAAATATTCCTTAAAACAAAATTAACTTAAGAAATAATATTGATGGTATTAAATTTAATATAGTAATATCTTCAAAAGAAATAATAAGGCATTAATAAATAAAATAGGTAATATTCAGATTATATTAGATTCAATGAGTTAAGCTATATAATAAACAGTCAGTGATTTTTGAATTATATCATTTTTATTTATTTACATGAAATATAAGGTTATTAATCTAATGAATGAAGAATATAACAACATTAACACAATAATTAGTAATTTTTTATTATTTACTTAACAAACATCAAAATTTAATAGAACATTACTATTCATTATATGATAATAACTTATAATTTTTAATACCTGCACTTTTATATCATAAAACAATATATATTTTTAAATGTTAATAAAATAACAAACACATTATCTTATTTAAAAATTTCACTATTAATGAATATAAAAAAGATAATAGTATAGTAGATAAAATACTAAAAACAGAAATTCAATCAATATTAATGAATATTTTTTAACTAAATATCTATACAAATAACAGAAATAGTAATAATTGCATTTAAATAATAACTAACATTCTTGGAATTCCATTTATAAGTAATAGTAATAAATAAAAAATAAATAAAACACAAAAAATAATAAGAATAAAACTGTCAATAAATAATGAATCAAATAATTAATTTAAATTCCTTTTTTAACACATTGTTTTGAATAAATCCAACAGCAATTTTAATACTAATCTTCGTAAAATAATGAAAAGTAAAAAAACAAATAAATAATATTAATTTGATTATTTCATTTATTTTAATAAATAAAAAAAACTAAATCAAAAACTACAAGATTTACTTTTATTTATCATAAAACTTAAATCTGAGACATACACTAATCCCTAGTCTTAACCCTTCATGTTGATTGTTGTTTTCTTGATACTACTCATTAGTAAAACAAAAAAGAAAAACACAAAAAATATTATTTATTGTGATACACACCACTATTTTATCAAATAATTTGATGAACTTAAAATAAACAATCAATGCAATCTTTATTCCTTGCCACAATTGATGACTATGAACAAGCAATAAACTCTCCCATTGCCTCTGAGTTTAACTTTCCTAATTTAAATGATTTTCGTACAAGGGAGTTAAATGATTTAATTTCTAAATTTCATCAAAGACTTTATGAAAAAGTTACAGAAGGAGGGTGTGAGGTTTCTTTTAGCATACAAACAAAACAAATTGGTTTTGAAATGTGGTACTTTTTGTCAGTAATAATTCTTGATAGAAATTTTGTTCAAGAAACATATTTAGTTAATGTATCCAACTTTACACGAATAACAAGTGATTTAATTTTGAAAATCACAACGGAGATATTCCCATCACTTCATAGAGATACTTTTGTATCAATTCATGAACCAAAAACTGTAAATACAGTTATGAAATTTAGTAGTGATAGATATGTGGTTATTGACAATTGTAACATTTTTGCTGCAATCAACTTTACACTATATCATAACCTTTCATCATTTTTTAAAGAACTTTTTGGTTTTGCTAAACAAATAAACAACCAAATAAATTCTTCTAAACAGAAATCACTTCTTCTTAAAGGAATAGGAAATGAAAAAATATTTACTAAGGAAAGTCATGCGATTAAAAGACTTAGATTCACTCATCCACAACTATCATTTAGATTCATTGAATGGTGTATTTTAAATTATTCTGAAATTACCCATCACGGTCAAATTCAAAATGATGAACTTATTGAAAAAATGAAATTAGTATTTAACCAAGTTAAACCAATATACGATATTATTAATGTCCTTGATGATACAGTTTATTTGGATGATTATATATCCCAATTAGATATTCTTATAAATACGCAAATAGAAACAATACATAATGATGAACTATCAAAAGAGTTGGTTGAATGTTTTAATAAAGCACGTAAAATATGGATTTCATTAAAAGAAGAAAATAAATCATTTTATGATTGTGTTTTATTCTTCTCTCCATCAAAAAAATGTTGTATAAAAAATCCATTACAATGTCCATCTTTAAAATGGATGTTAGATGTTGTTAGCAAAGATGAATTTATGGCATATTATAATGAGCCAATAACACAAACAGATAGTTTATCATATTGGAAACATCAAGTTAATTATACTAATTTAAGAATATATTCCAGAAAATATATTGGAATTAAAGTTCATTCGGGTTTACTTAATCAACAGGATAAACAAGAATTTATAAAACTTTATAAGAGAGCTGTTAAAAAAAATAACTCAAAATTTATTATTGCTCAATTGTTTGTTATAAGGCAAAATGCTTTAGAATTACTTCATATACTTAAAAATAATGAAATATCAACCCAAAGAAGAAAAATACCTGATTCTAATAACACAGATGATAACAATCAAATAAATGACTTAAATCATAAAATAAAAGAAGAAAATCAAATGATTAAAGAAGAAGTAAGTGCTCTACCACCTCAAACTTCAATAGATGAACAAGCTACTTTGTTCTATCCTCATGAAAATGATAATAACCTTTATGGTTTTAGACAAAATGTTGGACAAGAAGATAATGATGTTGTTTTTGGAGAAAATGAAACACAACAAAATCAAATAACACAAAATAATTCAATCGAATATCTTGACCTTGATGTAGAAGAACAAAAACCAAAGTCAATACTTCCAAGGAATATACTTTTTAATTAAATTTATTATAATTTAATTAAAAATTATTACTTTCATTTACTCAAAAAAATAAACAAAATATCTTAAAATATAATAATTAAATATGAAAAGTGATAATAAGATCGAAAAACAAGTAATTTTTGCAAGTTTGGTTCATAATTATCAAGAACTTTATGAAACACCATTTTTCAATGAAATTGTTGATATGCCTCCTATGAGTCAACTTCAAGAAGTTTTAGTTCAAAACATTATCACTAAATTTTTAAAATACTTTAAGGAACAAGCAAGACATATCATATTATTCGAAATGATAAGTCAAGTAATAGATGATTTTGTATATTGTTTATTCAGTGCTAAATCAATAAGAAATAAAAAGAAAGAAGAATTATATTTATCGTTAGAAACTGAAGAAAAAAGTTTGTCTATAATAAGCGAATTATTAGAAGCATTAGACATTCACCATCAAATTCTTATTTTCACAAATAAATTTATTCAACCAAGAGTTAATGTTTCATCAAATATATCATTTGTATATTGCATTAATATTAATGTATTTGATTGCATTGACTCTACTTGTAATAGTAATTTTTCTTTTTATTGGGACTTATTAAATACTTGTCAAATGAAAATCAAAGAAAGTCAACTTCCTTTTGAAGATATAGAAATTAGATTTTTCAATGATGAAAATTTAAGTCTCATTGATAACATCGTTTCAATACTAAAGAAACAGCCTAGTCTTTCACCAGAAGAAAAACTATTCATTTTAATTTCTGAAAAATTAACATTTCTTAAGAAACTATCAACAATTTCTACTGCAACCTGTTTTACAGATGTATGTTCTATTGTGAACAACTCATTGTTCCAAATTGAAGTAACTCATTACATCCAAGGACTACCCTTTATTGCACAAACTGCATTATCTAATCTAATCAATAGTTTAAAACTAATGTTTTGTCGTTATTTAAAACTTGAAAATCCCTTAGTTGCACTTATTAATAAAACTCAAAATAAAAATTTCAGTTTGTTCTCCTCTTCTATTCATAATCAATGTAGCGGAGTTTTAGAATCAAAACTCACTTCTCATTACTATTTGGCAGATTCATTTAATCATAACTCTGATATAGAAACTGATATTCAATGGATTTCACATATTCATTCAACAGAAGATATAATAAAAAATTTTTGGTTAGTAAGAAGAAATAGTGCTTTGTTGATTGATATATTACAACTTTCAGAAAAAGGTAAACCCAAATCTGATGAAATGACTAGTGAAAATGAACAAGAAAATGAAGAGTTAGATCTTATGAAAAGTGAAGAAAGTGTTATCCCAGATATCTCAAATTCAATTAACTATAAAAATTCAATCACTAAAGTCGCTTCAATCACTAATCATCAAAATCTATCTAAGAATAACAAAAACGAAAAATTAAAAATAACTGATTTTCCAAAACAAAATGACTCAACAGATAAAATCGCAACTAATCCAGAAGTAAAAGACAGTGATGTTCTATCTAACCAAATCAATAACAAAAATAATCAAATTTTGACATCTTTAAAAGTGGAAAATGTTTCATTACAAGAACTTCAAAAATTAAATCTCTCTCAAAAGGAATATCAAAGTCAAAATTCTACTAACTCCGAATTTATACAATACATATCAATTATTCAAGAAGAGGCATCATCTGTTAGTATCCCTACATTTTATTTAATGGATTATTCAAGCACATATAACTCTTATTTACTTTTTATAAGTTATTATACAAAAAAAGGAAATTTAAGACAATTGTTTATTGAACAAATTAAGTCAATTGATAATATTGATAAAAAAGTTTTTGACTATATTCACTGTTATACAAAAAAACCAACTATTGTCTCTTTATCATCTACTAATTGTTTTTACCCAAAACATATTAATAATACAATTTTTATTCCTTCTAAATCAGTAATTACAATAGTAGATTGTCAATGTGAAATAACATTTAATTCAGTCAAAGCATTGATCAAAGAATTAAGTCTAAAAGAAGAAACCAAAGGTTTTATTTCCTCTGTATTAATTCAATTTGCTAAAACGCCAAAGTCATCTTTTATTGATGGGATAAAAATAATAAAAAACCATTTATTACCAATAGCAAAATTTTTTGATGAAAAATACAAGTCAATTATCTGTGAATTATATTTTGAATTACATCCAATTTTCAATAAATCATGTGCTTTAAATAAAGTAAAATCTCTTGGAGAATTAACAGACATGTTAGCAGATATTGTAGAATGCTGTGATAATTCAAAACCAAATACTAATTTACATTCGACTAAATATGAAGAAATTCTCAAAGAAACCCAAGAAGCAAAAAGTCTTATTAAGAACATCATATCAAAATACTATAAACCAACAACACCAACGCTATTGGCAAGAGCAACATTTTTTGAACCAATGTATAAAAAAATGAGATTGTTTTCACAAGAAGCCATCAACACAATTTTAAATAATTTAAAAGAGCATTGTGGAAAAGAAGTCAATGAATATTTAAAAGAACCATCTCCATCTTCTAAGGACTGTCATTGTTGGTGGATAAATCACAGATCTCAGTATCCAAAATTATATGAAGAATCAAGACAAACAGAAAGTATTATTTTTGGTCAAATTTTTGAAAAAAATACAGATGATATTATGTTTGGAAACGTTGATGATGAAAATAATACATATCCTGTAATCTTTAACTTGTTAAATTCATCGTTTATTTCCGAAAAAAGAAACGAAATTAAAACAATTCAAAACCAAACAAGAAAAATCCTAAACGATGATGGGGAGAATAGCCTTGATGAATGGACTTCTCGAATTGACTTTTCATTTCTTGAACATCAAAAGAAACAAAATTCAACAACTAAACAACAAGAAATGAGTCAGAATGATGGATCGACACAATTAATGAGTAGTAGTTCTTCTGAAGTGGATGGACCAGAAGAAGAAAAAATTTTAGAAAAGAACATCCAAGAAGCAAGGGTATTAAATGAAAAAAATCGAGCAGCTAAATCACCTGTTATTGTGATTGATGTTGATGAGCCAAAACTTTAGTTATTTATAAATAAGTCTATTTAATCATAAATGGTTATGAATAATTGCATTATTAAAATTATGAAAGAAAAATTACATGAATAAAAAATGAAATTAGAGTTACATAAAATTTTACTTCTTTTATGAAAAATTTGTTATATAATTATAATATAATTATAGTTTAATATAAAAAAAGAAAGAAAAAACTAATTAATACAAAAAAACAAATGTCAGATAAGGATTCAACAATTAAACTATTACTCATTGGAGAAAGTGGAGTTGGGAAAAGTTCACTTTTACTTAGATTTTCTGAAGATGCTTTCAACCCAATGTACATTACGACTGTAGGTATTGATTTCAGAGTTAAAAATATTGAGTTAGATAATAAGAAATTAAAGTTACAAATATGGGATACAGCTGGACAAGAACGATTTAGAACTATTGTATCAAGTTATTATAGAGGAGTTATGGGAATTGTTTTAGTATATGATATTACTTCAAGAGAGTCTTTTAACAGTTTGTTTTAATATTTTAATTAAAATTAGATATGTATGAAATGATGTTTAATAAGTAGACATTGAATATTGGATGAGAAACATTGAAGCTAATGCAGACCAAAATGTTAATAAAATTCTTGTTGGAAATAAGTGTGATGCTGAAGATAAAAGAGTTGTTACAAGTGAAGAAGGACAACAAATGGCTAATAAATTAGGAATTCCATTCTTAGAAACATCTGCCAAAAATTCATTAAAAGTTGATGACTGTTTTATTTCTTTAGCACGTGATGTTATTCAAAGAATTGGTGAATCATCTCAAAGTGCACAACCAGGAATTGTTGACCCAACCCAACAAACACAACCAACTGAATCAACTGGATGTTGTTAATCACATTTCCTTCTTCTTCCTTCTTGTTTTTTTAAAAAATGTATTATAACAAAAGAATAATTAAATTATAACTTTTTATTTAATCATTAAACTTTGACTAGAATTCTTCATTATAAAAATTAAAAGTTTTAGTTAATACAGTAGTTCTATGTAGATAAAATTTTGAGCATTATATTTCAAGATATAATTCTTCACAACAAAGTGATAATAAAAAAAAGAACAAAGAAGGTGATAGAGTTAAAAAATAATAACAAGCCTAAATAAATTAATACATAACAATCACGAAAACATCAAGAAATTGAAACGTTAAAAACTTCAACTGTTTAGATACAATCATAAACAGTTAATAAAATAAAAAGACAAAACACATTTAATAAGAAAAAGTCTTGAAAAAGAAAAATTCTCAATAAACGAGTATAAAACATTGACATCTAAAAAAAAATCAATTATTAGATATATCCACAATTGGATTTTCTTCATTTTGAGAAGTGATTATTTCACTTTCTTCAATATGTTCTAATTATGCAACATACACTTCTTTTGATCAAAATGTAAATAAAATAATATAAAAGTAATATTTATTGAGAATAAAAAAATAAATTATATGATTAAGTCCTAGTTTTTTGATGAAATAAATTTTCATACAAAATGAATATACCAATATAGTGTATACAAAAGGAAATATCTATAAACAATTATATTATAAAAATTAAGTTGTACTTGTTGTTTTTTATAATTTATTTTAAAGAAATAATAATTAAAAATTATAGTTATTTTATTATAAATAATTGTTGATTATAATAGTTCATTTATTTAATTCTTATTTAGTTCTTATCATTTAAAATTAAATTTAATTACTTCAATTAATTATTTTCTTATTAAAAAATCTTTAAATTAATTTTTTTATTCATTTTGTATTAATTCTGTTGTTGTTTTGCTGTTTGTTCAATAATAATTGTTTGAACAACACCTCTCAATCCTTCTGGTAAATTTCTAATAGCAGCTGCATGTCGTTCATCCTTTAAATCACCTTCCATTACTCTCTTTAATATTTCAAAGAATATTCCTCTTTCATCTAAATTAACAAGTTCATCTTCATCACTATCTATAATGTCATCACTAAAGTCATCTAAATAATCATCAAAGTCATAATTTTCTAAATTGTTTATATCTTCATAAACTACATCTTCGTCATCATTTAAATTTTGAATAGTAGAATCTCTAATAGATTTAGATAAATTATGAGCATTTTTAATTTTATATTCTTCACATCTCTTTCTTTGATTTTCTGTTTCAACAAGTAATGTAATAACAGTATTATAGAATCCAGTTAAATTATTTTTAATAAAGTCTGGTAATTGATCAACAGGAAGTGTCATTAATGACATTAATGCAACAATGGTAATCTTTTTGTCAGAAAGAGCAGGGAGTTTCTTTGGAATAAAACTATTCCATAAAGAAAAGAATTGATTAAGAATTCCTAATGAATTTAAAATTGTGATAGTCAATCTAGTGTTATAGAAAATACAATATAAAATAACTTCTGTCCCTTGTAAAGCTAACATTGATTGTGGGTCTCTTAATAATGGTAATGTGGTTTTAATAAGAAATTCAACAAATGTATCAACTTGTCCATCACAACAAAGCAATACTGCTTGGGCAATTCTAAATACACATAATGCTTCAATGTCAATATCAGGAGAAGAAAGAACAGAGTTAATTAATTTCATTACTAATTGCATATTAGTTGGAATATTTAATAATTCTGGTTGCTTAGCAATAAATACTGTAATAAGTGGTTCTGCACTTGTTAATCCATCATAACTCATATTTAAACTAACATTTAATATAATAGTAAATAAGTCTTGAATTCTTGGGTTTAAAGGTGTTGGTGCTAATCTAACCAGTTCACATGCTAAAGAAAATGTATTTTCAAGACTATCTTTAGCAAATAAACTATCAGCTGTTAATAATCTATTAATATATGGAAGGAATAATTCAATAAAAATATTCATTGACTCATTACTTGTTGAATTCATTCTCATAATATCTGTTATTGAAGTAACTGCAGATGAAGCAGAAAATGTGGCATTCATTTGTGCATTTTCATCAAGTTCTCCATAATTATTTTCAATAGAAATTAATACATCTAATAATGCTTTAACAATGTCAATTGAATGTGGTCTTGTTTCATTTGGGAATCTTTTAATTAATTCAGATAATGTTTCGACTACATTTTCACTTTCAAAGACTTTAATAGTTTGTAATAATACTTCAAATAATTGAACTAATACTGACTTAAATGAATCACTCAAACAATTATAATCTACAAATATACCAATTACTGATCCAGCTGATACTCTTGCAATAACATCATTACTACTTAAAAGTTGGAACATCATTTGAACTACTTTAATAACATAATCTGGTAATACACTTGTTTTTTGGAAGTTAAGTATTCTAAATACAATACCAGCTAAGTCACATCCTCTTCTAATTAATAATGTATTTCCACTAGATAATAATAATGGAACTGTGACACTTAAAATACTTGGTACATACTTAGCATAATCTTTTGAAATAACAAATTGACCACAAATTTTTCCCATAATAAAACATGCACAATCAATAATTATTGGATCTTTTTCAAGACCATGTTGATCAACAGGAATAAGATTTAATAATGGTTGAATATAATATGGAAGGAATGTTTTTGCTCTATATTGTATTGTTGCTCTTATAAAATTAATTGATGCAGTTCTTCCATCAATAGAACCAAAGTCATCATCTTCATCTCTATTTCTAAGATAATCAACAGGAGCAGTTTTCATTTCTTCTAATTCATTAGGAGTAACCATAATTTGTCTAAATATAATTTTTTCAAATAAAACAGGGAAGAATTGAAGAATAACTTTAGACAATTTACTTGTTTTTAAACAATGTGATAATAATGAAATTTCATAAAACATTAACTTACTTGGTATTGTTAAATTTAAATGAGGAAGCATTGCATTAATAAATTGTGTTGCAATATTATCAACAAAATATGTAACTGTTTGAGTAGCTCGAGATGCCTTACTAGTATTATGACTAATAAATGAAGAAGTTCCACGAATGAGTCCAATTAAAGAAGAACATTGAGCATTTTTTTCATCATTATTATTAAAAGTAAATGGTTGTTGTAAAAATGCAATAGCATTAGTATAAAATAAGTCAATAGTTTCTTTATTAAAGAATGAAGGAACTTTAGTATAAATAATGTATTTAAATAATTTAAAACAAAGTCTTGTATGAACATACATTCTATTTTGAATTGCTGTAATTAATATTCTTAAACATGTAGGAAATATTACTTCTATAAATTGCATCATTGGAGCATAATTTTCTGTTTGAAATCTAAATGATTTAGCAAATGTATTAATACTTGCCATAACTCCTTTAAATGATATTTCATTTGAAATAATTTCTGGGTTTTGAATTAATGATTGAATAATTTGTAATAACCCTCCACATTTACCTGGAAAATCCATTACTAAAATGAATCTTAGTGTTTCTATTAATTGGGTTTGTACTACACCTGGGGCTCTAATGATTAATTGCATTAATAATTCACATAATTTTGCTTTTGATTCTTCGTTTAAATTTTCCCAAATTAATTTGATGTAATGTTTGAAATTAATTGAAACAATCTGTTGAACAACTAATGGCTCTTGTGTGTTAGAAAGAATGTTAATAGCTGTTGTACCAAATTCTGGATTATTAAACATCACATTAAACATTTCATTTGCTTGTGTTAAACTATTATTATTACCTGATAATGAAAGTTGACATGCATGATGAATTTGGTCAGTCAATGACATGAATCAATGATACTAATTAACAATTATCGGAGGTTTTATAATAAAACCCTAAGGGTTTTTAATATGTTTTTGGTTTTTGGGATAAGGACGATAATAACACAACATTAAAAAAAATGTTATTAAAAAAAAATAAAAGAAGAACTAAAAAAGAACTTAAAAATATTGAATTTTAATAAAATATTTTGTTAAAGAAAAAAGAATGAAGCAGATGAATAAAATTTATATTATATTACTTTGTATTATAAATGTTTATGGAGAATGTGTATTACCAAAAGAAGGACAATGTAATTATATTCTTCAAAATTGTGAAGATGTATCATTTTTAATTAATTATTTAGAATTACTATATTGTTATAATTCATATTGGATAGTATTTGTTTGTATGGTAATTGGAATTATAATTATATTTTATTTATTATCAGTTTCATCATCAGATCATTTTGTTCCAATATTAACAATTCTCAGTAAACATCTTTCTATGTCTGCTGATTTAGCTGGAATTACAATTTTAGCAATTGGAAATGGAGCTCCTGATGTTTTTAGTACATTTGTAGCTATTTATAATACAGGAGATGTTGAATTAGCAACAGCAGAAGTGATAGGGTCAGGATGTTTTGTAAGTAGTATTATAGTAGCAAGTATTGTTTTATTAGGAAAAGAAGATATAAAAATGCCAGAGACATTAATTCATAATATCAGTTGTTATATACTTGCATTATTATTTGTATATTTTATTTGTACAACAGGAAGTGTATCAATAATACATTCTATTATATTTATTCTTATTTACCTTTTATATGTTTGTTTCATTGGATATATAACCAAAAACAAACCTTTAATTAAAATTTCTGAACAACTAGACTCTGAAAATAAAACTAAATTAATTGATAATACATTAAACAATATTGATGAAGAATTAAATTCTTCTAATGAAAATACTACTTTAAATAATAATATTTCTTCAGATAAAGGATTTACAAGTCAATATAATATATTAGAACAAATTAAACTTACTAATTGGTTTAATAAAATATTATTAATATTATCAATTCCTTTTAGGTTTATTATGGAATTTACTACTCCTCATATTTCTGATAATAGAAAAAATTTACTTATTTCTTTTGCTTTATCTCCTTTACCTATTTGTATTGTTTCTCAATTACCTTTAAAATATTTCATTATTCCTTTTATTTTATCAATTGGAATTATTTTAATTATTCATTTCACTGAAACACAAATCCCTTCTATTATTATCAATTTATATGGATTTGTTATTAGTGTTTTATACATTTATATTTTCGCAAGTGAATTAGTTGCACTTCTTCAATCAATTGGAGTTGCTATGAAAATTGATTCCTCAATTCTTGGTTTAACTGTATTATGTTGGGGAAATTCAGTTGGTGATTTTGTTTCAAATGTAATTGTTAGTTCTCAAGGTTATTCAGAAATGGGAATTATTGCTTCGTATGGAGGACCTTGTTTTAATTTATTAATAGGACTTGGAGGTGGTGTTTTAGCTCGTTCAATTCTTCATTTTCCTAAGTCTCAACAAATTGTAATGACTGATTCATTATTCTTTTCAACAACATATTTGATTGTACAGTTATTAATTACTTTAATATTCATTTCTATTAACGGTAAATTAAACAAGAAATATGCAGTGGTTCTTATATGTTCTTATCTTCTTGTTCTTTCCTTCTCAACTCTTTCTGCATTTAACGTTTTTAAACTGTTTGGTTAAATAACATTTTCTTTATTATTTTATTTTATTTTTTTGTAAGAAAACAAGAAAAAAAAAAAAAGAGAAGAAAAGTTCAAGAAAAAAGTCAAATAAAAAATAAAAAAAGAGAAACCCTTGAAAAATTTCCAATTTTTTTACAGAAAAAATGAGAAAAAAAGAGATAAGAAGATTCTATGACATGTAACCCTTCAAATTTAACAATTAGAAACAGAACTAAGAAAATCATT